ACACCCCGAGCGGGACACCCCGAGCGGCACACTCCTCGCGGGACACTGAGCACTCCAGGCTGAGCACGGACAGTCCCACCGCCCCGCGGCTGCTTTACCTGAAAGAACCACCTCCAGGGTCGTTCAGCTTGTTTTTCTGATTTGCAGAGACCTGAACACCAAAGCCTCCAGGACTTTTACTGGCTTGTATTGTTGGTGTCTTCCCTACTGTGCCTGAAAAACACCAAGCGATGTTATTATGAGCTGTCTTCAACAATTTACATCAAAGAACCTTCTGTCCAGGAACTAAATTTAACTGTCTGTAAATTGCAAACAAAGGAAGTTATTATTTTTAAAGATTACAAGCTGAAGAAGAACAATTTGAAATACAAAATTTATATTAACATTACGGTTTGTTCAATATTTACACGATAGTGAAGCTTCCCAAACCAAAAACCATTGGTCGTAACTGGCTATAATATTTATAATGGCTATAAATGTGTTTGCAATTGCCAGTAAACCACTTTTCTGGATAATCTGCACAGAATAGAGAAGCAGAATTTTGAACGTTCTTAACACAGATGCTTTAAGTCACAGTCACTCGGGGTATTAACTATGCCTTTTACACTGTTTATATACTCATTGTTCTTTCTTGCAGTGAAAAACATATTTCAGACTGGAAAACACTGCATGTGCTTCAAAATGTTTTGCATTGCATATAAAAGAAGAAACACTATTGCAAAATGTGACATAACCTCCCCATAAAAATTGTTTTTTGTATTCTTATCTTGAAACCAATTTTAAAGCAATCGATATCTGTATCTAGACTTTACAGATCCTTAAGTCAAAGTCAAACTGCGCTCCCTAAACGAGCCAAAGCGTGGTGGCCATTCAGTACATTAAAAGGGGATCTTACTCCTCTCTGACATTTGCGAAAATCTAGCCAAAAATGATGACAAATTTATGTTGCTAATTAGCAAATCATTAGACCTGTATTATTATTACCTATTATTGTTATCATTAAAAACATAGTATCAGTGTGCAACTGAAAAAGCACTGGCAAGTGAAACTCTTGGAGTAAGCCCTCCCTTACTCTTAAACATGTTTACTTGGGTTGTATTTGTGCTTCCTTTAATCCCACCTGTGTTTTGGCATGTAAAAATAGTTCACGTCTACTTGACTTAAAAGTCCTCACCTTTTTCTTGTCTATCATTCAGTCTTACTGAGCACTGCATAGTGCTTGAGAGCTTGAGAAGGACATGGGAGCTGTTCCTGCACCTCTATGACTCTATTGCGTATAAACGACATGGTGTGACCCTTGGCAGAGTTACAGTACTTTTCTTTCATGAATTATTGAAACCTGCAACACAACTATCCCAACCAATCCTCTTAAGAACACTTCCTGGCTAAAACAAAAGTGTTAGCTTTGAATGAGCCCTGCATTACATTTTTTTTTATTTGGAACTCTTCATCAACTCCAACACAGGATCATAGAGAGAAACTAATTTGACAGTGTTTGTTCAGGTCTCCAGTCTGTATAAATAAACTGTAGCGTGGCCTCTCCACATGAGCAAATATAAAACAAGATTTAGGACTTCAGGCTCAAGCCTGGGGAATAAAAATATTTTGTCATCAGAATACGCAAGGTCCGTGAGATGTCACAGATAGCATTAGCTCATGGACCAGACAAGTCATTTCTCTGTTTCAGATGAACTAACAGAAAGGTTTTCTACTAAGTAAACTGGAAGGAAAGAAATAATAATAAAAGTCAGCAGGTCTCTGCTTTGTACAATTAACATCTGGGAGATCAAAAGTGTGTTAACCTTGACAATTATTGCAACGGCAAAATTAAGGTAACAATGGAACTCCACCAGAATTAGTATCATGTCTCTCTGGTTTGTTTTCTACATATGAAAACTTTTGATCAAAAAACCATAAAGCTCAAACAGAACAGGTAGCTTCTTGGTCTCAAGAAACAGGATGTCTATGCTGGATATGGAAGAATTAAGTCTCACTTACTTTCATCCCATGTGTATCTAATTCTACTCAAATGGATCTAGCAAAGTAACTGTAAGGGTTGGGATGACATAAGTTTTCTGGTTTAAGTAAACCACAACTGTACATGACTAAACAGTTAGGCATAAAATATGGCTAAAACATCAATTTATATTATGAGGCAGGGCATATTTTGAACACTGAAATCACCTGTGGGCCTAGAGATTTCATGGGATTGGTAATGACATACAGAGTCTTTCACCACTGCACATTTTAAGTAGCATGATCTAGAGAAATAAGCCCAAATTCCGGAGCTTATAAATTCCTAGCTGTATTTCTGCACAGGTTAAATAGCTGCAATGACTACTCTGGCTAATTAATTTACTCTTAATCGCTCCATCCATAAGATGCAACTCACCTAATTATTATACTGGTAAGTGCTTTAATAAAGGAGTGTGAATTTTCCTTGGTGTGGGTGTGATGTTAGTTATATAGAAGTCCTGACATTAAAAAGCATTGCAGTCTGTTCACATGGATGCACTGAAGATAACATTAACCTAGGAGATTCACTCCCATTGAGCAGGAAAATGCACTACTGAGATCAGCTCAGTTCTGGTGTAACTAGCCTTAAAAATTCACACTCCACAAAATTATACTACTGCAATTTTCTACATAGAGCATGTCTCATTCCAGTATATTATCTCCTTCTGTAGGAATACCTAGGCCAGTATGAAATATCACTGCACTGGTGTTGACAGTGCAGGGTTTTAGCGATACATCAAGATGAACAGTTCCCAGACTGTGTGCCACAGCAGTGAGTGATTCTTAGAGCTGCAGGCACAGGGGACTTTTCCCTGGATGTGGGCTGCAGGATCAGAGGATTTACAGAGGGATCTCTTCTAAATTTCTGCTCTGTTTGCTTTGGCTGTGTCATTAAAACAATACCGTGTGGGCTTCACCAAACTTGCAAACTGGAATAAGCTCACCTGAAAGCAGGGCTTGGCATGAAGTGGCCTCCACGAGAGCACTGTCTGCCCTAAGCCAAAGTGCCACTTAAGTGCATTGCATTGATCAGTGGCTATTAAGAATAAATTCATATTCTGGCTGCACTGTTTAAAACACAGATGCCAGTATCATGCAAATTCTTGGCACACTGTTGACATTCACAACTCAAGACTGAACAAGCAAAGAAATGAAATCTGCCTTCACTCTCAGACACGTTAGTCAGAAGTGAAAGCTCATGCTGTAAGATGCATGGGTATGCTACAAACTCAGGACATGAGGATCAGTGCTACCAAATATGCACAGGTTTTGGCAGGTAAATGTATTTCTTCCTGACTTGGAAAAACAGCCTATGGGATTACAGTGACAGCTTGGTCTCCATGTCCATTCAGGCTCTGGATTCTCTGAAGAGACGAGAGCATGTAAAACATCAGCTGCTATTAAATGTTTTTCATGCTTTTTTCTCCCCCCAAGGAGAACAAAAAGGACCAAGCAATGAAGTCAAATAGGCAGCACCAGCTCTTATGTGCATTTAAACTAGTTTGATTCCTGATTCAATACCTGAAGATGACAAGCTCTGTATTGCATTACAAACCCTTAGTCATGTAAATGCCCACATCCAGCAAGATAGTCTCACAAATATTCAGGAAAAATAAAGACCAGCAGGTTTAGTGGTAGAAAGAAACAAATGGATATTTATTAGAAAGTAAGAGGCAGATGTGTACCAGCCACATGCTGTGGCTAATCATGGCATGTCAGGTTGCTGTACTCAGTCTCTGATCTCACCAAAAAGTAAACATACTGATAAGGGTAAAAAAAAAATCATGAGGCTTGAGGAATCTCTCTAGGACTCCTACCTTGACCTCTGTAGCTGCAGAGATGGTGACTATCACATTCTGCTTCAGGAGTAAAATTTAAAAGCAGGATGATTAAATTGAAGCATCTACTAGGCTTCAGGAAAAGTGAAAAATTTCCTTGCTGGCCCAGAGTTAGAGCTTAGGACAGTAAGAGCTAAGTTCCTGACCTCTTTCAGAGCTTTCCACGCAAAACTGCTGAGTAAGGAGCTAAACATGTGCGAGTTTAGTCCTAAGGTTGTTTCAAAACATTTCACTTGTTGGTCTGAAACACCTTGAAACTGCATATGAAAACATGCATTCCTCAGCCAGCATGAAGCAAAAAATAAAGGTGTTGCCAATGTCAACACTGTCAGTTTTTCCATGCTACTCGTTTGTCATTACAATGAAATTCATACACAGGTAACAATCTCACTAAAACATTGAAACCCATACCTTGTGGTCTAATGGTCTGAGTTATTACCACTGGCATCCTAATCTGGGTAGTCTGGCAAGCAGGGGTTCGTTTCACAGTTTGAGCAGATGTTGACTGGATAATCTGCTATTATTAAAGAAAAGTATACTTATATTATACTCTTTATACACAAACACACACAACGTAAATACACTAATACCTGTCATTACCAATATAAGCATGTGGATCTCTAAAAGCACAACCAGCTGGTGACAAAAGTCATATCCATGTAATGCATGTGGTTGTGTGTGTGTGTATATACCTATTTTGCCATTATGCTTAAAAAAAAAAAAAATCAAGTAATATTCGACACAAATGTCACAACCTTCATCAAAAATAGATTTCAAAGTCATAAAGTTAATATGAAAGTTTAGACTTTTGTCTTCAGAAATTTCACTAGGAAGAAAAGCATTTTTGTAGAAGCAAATGCTGCAATAATTTATTTTAGTGGTATCCACCTACACACATGAGGCCTTGCACTATATATCTCTGCTTTGTAAAGCAAACATATACTGCAAATAAATCCTAAAATATTATGGGTTCCAAAGTCAGATATACATAGGAAAATAAAAAACAAGTTTTGTGGTGATCATAAACTATTTATCTTTTAAATGTTGATTGGATGCTCTCAAGGCTTCACTTACTACTAACTGAAGTTCTGAAGTCCTTCCCCAAAACTGAAACTGGGTGAGAAACTTAGAATTTGACCCATGAACAAATCAAACCAAAAAGAAAACACCTGCAAGGGTCATATCTAAGTAATACAATGTACATTCATGTAATCAGGGACAAGGTAGGCACAGATGGAATGAACAGAAGATTCAGAAAGATGTGTGGATGCTGCAGAGCTGTGGAAAAAAAACCCATAAATGAACTTTGAAAGTAAAACACAGGCAAATAGCTACAAATAGGATTACAACCACAACTTGGCCATGGCAACTTGAGAAGCCACACGCTCTTCACAGTCCCAACCGTGTTCCTCCCACTGCTGCTTCTGAATCCCAGCCCCAGCCTCACACCCCCGGGATGCAGCATTCCCTCCTGGAAGACAATCCATCACACCACATGAAGCCAATGGGAACCACTGCACCTCCATCCAGCATTATTCCTACAAAGTGCAGCTAAAACCGTATTATTTAGCTGAATAATGAATGGCCAAGCCTCTGACTTCAACGTACTATGGAGAAAAGGAAAGGTGAAACAGCATTTTCAAATGAGATGCAAAAGCAGAAGATGAAGAGGCTATAAAGAGGAAACAGTTCCATCAGAGGGAACCAAGGCTCCCAAATTGGAAGGGAGAGAGGTGAAAGCTACAAACAAGAAACAAGTGATGAGGGACCTGCGATGTATTCTGGAGAAAAAACAAATAGGGGCATTTTGAAGTTACAAAATTTCATTCTGTATTTCCCAAAAATATTAAAAGTTGACCAGTGATGACAAACCTGTGAATGAAAAAGTATTAGCAATTGTCAACTTGCAGGGAGAGAAAAGGGAAAGAATAAGGATTCAGCTTCAGCTATGGACACTGAAGGAAAACAGAGCACGTACTAAGCACAGAAATAGAGCAAATGGATGTAAATTTACTTGGTCAAGACAGGCAGTGAGTGAATAGTGACACTCAGAGGGGAAAGAACAAAGTTGCTACCATGCTTAAAACCAGAAAGGAAACAGAGCTGGTAAGTGCAAATGAGGGGAAAAAAGTAAAATCTGACTACATTTTGATGTACAGGAAACATGTACAGGTGTATTTTTAGTAAAGAGACAGAACAGTCCATGGGGGAGAAAACCTACATTGGCATAAAAAAGGAGAACGTTGCCACTTTTACAAGAATTTATTGGGTGAGTGTTCAGAGAACAGTGAAGAAAAGCAGCTGTCCCTTAACAGGCCAGGAGCCAGGCCAAGAACAAGATGTGTGAGACCTGTGGATAGAATTACTATCTGCTATTACAGCAATCTTCTGTCATTAGATTTATTTTAATCTCTGTGAAGCAACTTCTACAGTTCAGAATGAAGTTCTGTCTCACCTCATTAATATTTTCATGTGACTGCCCTAAATAATGAGCCACTAACACTACTAAAGACAGGATAGTGTTTAGCCATTTAGGATGACATGAATAATGGCAACATTTTCTTTACTATCAAATACATTTAAAAAAAAAGTCCTTTAGCAACACCTGTACAAGTGCTGAAAGTGTAGAAAATTATTGAGAAACAAACTCTTCCAAAGGGCAGAGACCAAAATAATCATCTTAAGTTCCATTCATAAAGCAGCAACAAGCACACACAAAAAACAACTGCACCAGACCTCGGAGCAGCATTTGACACTAACCTAAGCCCCACGTTCCATACTGGAGTTTTAAGATATGTTTCAACACAGATGCAACCTTCAGATCAGGAAGTCATGAAGGAAGTAACATTAGCAATTTGTTTCTGAAACAGAATGTGTAACCTTCTTTGCAGGCAGACTAAGGACATAGTAAAATCCAACGAATCAGAGGTAACTGATCCCACATTAAAATTTATAAACAATCTAACCCACACTTCATCAGTTAAGGCAATTCAAACTGTTCTAATCCTCTTGCCAATTTTCCCAACAATATAAACATCACTATTACATCCTTAACTTGGCCTGAAATGAGCAATGTACTAGCATTGAGCAACTAGAGTCTAGACAATGAACAACTGTACTAGCAAGCTACTATGGCAGATGATTAACTTAACCAAATTATTTCATATTTCTCCCAGCAATGAGTGCAACCCATGTAATGCTGTCTGTCCATAAGCTGAACCAGTGCTGAGCCCCAAATGATCAGCTCCTAAGCACCAATTTACTAACCCAGGCTGACACAGAAGATACAGCAGTGGATGTTTTAGGACCCTGCGGTTATCAGAGACATTGCTCCAGCTTCAGGAAAGGGGAGATCTTACTGCTGTTTGCAACCACCTGTGGGAAGATGCAGAAAAGACAGAGCCAGACTCTCTCAGATGTGCAGAGCAGAAGGATGTAACACAAAGAACACAAACTGGAATACAGGAAACTCCAATTTAATATAAGAAAAAAAAGTTACCATGAGGGTGGGCAATCTCTGGAACAGGTTGCCCTGAGAGGCTGTGGAATTTCTTCTTGGAGACACTCAAAACATGATTGTCACCTGGGAGTCATCCTAACCTGTAAGCAGGAGGCTGGACAAAACACCTCCAGAAGTCCTTTCCAACCTTTTACCTCACCAACAAAGTGGTGACAGCTGAAATACTCATTTTTCTTAAGGGCCTTCTTCAAAAAGCATAGATTCAATAACTACATGAGAATAAAGTAACAGTGCTCTTTAGTACTCATCTCAAGCCAGAAAGTGATCATACCATGACAGGTGTGAATCTTCTACCACCCACATTATTGCAGGACAAAGAACAAATCACATATGTGAACACAGAACAATAATTAACAGCAGAAATAACCAACACACACAGACTGAGAAAGAATTCAGCCAAAGCACATAAAATGAACAGAGGCAGAAAGACTGAAAACTTAGGCTCTCTTCCTCATGCCTACGCAAGAAATACAAAATAAAATGAGAGCCACTACCTGCAAACCACTGAAGGGAATGGTCCTTTGGGACAGCTAGATCAGGACTCACTGCTAAAGCTTCTGAGGACAAGGGTTTTTCAAGTCTCATGTACCAGTGCAGATACATAAGGTGCCAACAATATGCCTTCCCTTTACTAGACAAGGGCTGCAAAATCCACCTGACTCAATTCACATAAATCATACTTTGCAACAAAAGCATCTTAGCCAAAAGCTTAAGCTGATCAACTATAGAGACAAATAAAGACAAAGGCATAGGAAACAGAAGCTTCTGCAAAGAAGGGAAAGCAAAAATAAATTTAGGAAATATACCCTTTCCCAAGCTTTCTTTTTTTCCTCTCAAGTTAAAAAAAGATGTTGTGGAAGGAAGAAACAAGGCACTTGTAAACATATAAAATTCAGAATGGCTGTGGTCTGATATGACATTTGTCTTCACTCATGAGTAAACACTTGCTAACTCACTTGTGGCTATGCCACTTGTGATTTATCAGTCTACTCACTCCTGAAGATAAATGTCATATCAAACCTCAGCTACCATGTAATCTGGCAGCATTAACTTACAATGTTCATGCTTTCGTGGGCCTAGAATTCATATTTACCATTGTTTACCATGCTGGATTAGGAGCTACAGTTTTTCAATGGTGCCTCAAAATCTGCATAAGCAATTAGTTTTCCTCCCAAATAGAACAACTGACTTTTTAGGAACTCAGCATGTAAATTCTGATGTTAACCTGACAGCAATATTGTTCCAGTGAGCATGTTTTTCACAAAGCAACGAAGAAAGGTAAGCCAGACCACTTGTCCCACCTGCTCCCCTAGTTATTACACAGCTCTTCCTACAGTATGTGACATGGTCTAGCTTAGAATGGTTTCAATTAAGCCTTTTTCATCACTATCTTTGGGAGTCTGAGCTACCATCTCATAGTCTGTTTTACTCTAAGAGCATTTTGCCTTCTAGCCTACCTAAATCCTACTTAGTTTAATTATATCCTGCAATTCATATTTATACTGCCTGGTCTGCTCCAAAGAAAGGTCTTTTGTTCTCCCTTCTGGTCAATGTTTGACCAGTTTATGTGTGTTTAAGTCTCTTAAGCTTTTGTTTTAGTCTTTGTTTCCAAGCCTGCCCTTTTGTTGCTGGTTTCCAAACGGCCACCAGTGACAATATCCTCTTCATATTAATGTACAGCCCACAAAATTCTGAAAGCAAAGTCCATGATAACAACCCAGAAAACTACTGGGCTGTATTTCAAACACACACAATTTGTCAAGTACAGGCTTTGTTCTTGGTCATGGACCCCAGACATCTACTGCTCAATAGCTGTTTTTATTTAAATTGCAGTGCACACCAAAGCCAAGTCAGGAACTAGATCTTTGAGTTCATTAACAGAAACTACTGCTTTGACCCAAACAGCCACCTACTACTCCTCATTTCTGAGCTGCCTTGCACACAGGACAATAAGAAAATGATTTCCTATGAATCACTAAAATGTGTACAAATTACAGTCATTCATGAATAGAAAACTGACGACAGAAAAAGCTTCAGCAGAGAACTAAAAAGCAAAGTAGAACAGCCCCATGTAACACAATATTTATTCTGCTGTGGTATCTTGTTTCCAAATTCCATTTGGGAGCCTCCAACCACTGTAACAGCCCCTGAAAAGGTGCTAGCAAATGTTTGAGCAAATCCTGTTCTAACATAGCTTAGACAATGGCAAAGTCGTCCCTCTGGACACTGTGCCCAATTTACTGGGGCAATAACAGTCCAGATGTATTGCTATATCCCTTTCCTAATCCTAGACCTGCACAAATCTTTATACTGCTTTGTATATAATTAAAGTTGCTTTAATTAAGATGGATCACTGGATTTCTTAATGGTTTTCTTTATCATTTGAATTTAATAACTGGCTTCAACCTCCAGGAGTACTTTCTCCTTACGATGCACTCAGTGTCAATACAATATGCAAAGTGCTAATCCATCTCCACTACTCATCAATCTACTTATAACTTCAATGCATTTCACAAAGAACATATCTCTTACCACACAAATTTTACCTGCTGTAACACCCAGAACAAGACAGGCAATGTCTGCACAGATAGGGCAATATAGAACACATGGACCCTAAGAATGACAATTTAGACAAACTTTGAACGTTGCACTTAGAACAATTAAAAAACATTGACTGCTGGCTTATCCCATTAGTGCCCCATCAATAAAATATTAGCCTAAGATTATTCTCCAGTTCTCGAGCTAGAAGCAGCACTATCTATCTCTTAAAAGCATTGCTTTCTCATAGTTTGAAACATGATTCCAAGACTATGTAAAACAGATAAAGAATGTTCTCCTCTCCCATCTCTACTAACACTACCCGTTTTAATGCTGAAGTCTCCTTTGTGCAGCTAGGCTGCATGGTCACAGCACACACAGCATTCTCATGCTGCAAGATACCTCAGTATAACTGGGAGAAGCATCATTGCCACATGATCCCTCTGTGAAACAGAAAAGTCGTAGGAAAGGAACAGCTACCAGGTTCTCCACATTTTAAAGAAAACTAGACTCCTAGAAACCAGCTGGTATGAAAAGATCTGTATTCTAAAACAGGCTTGCCCTTCTGCAGCTGGACAGTTTGCAAAGCCAGCTGGAAATCTCTCCAGTGAGCTTCAGGCTTGGAAAGCCTGGAACTCAGCCAGTTTCCTCCATCAGTGCTGGCCACCCTTAGGCAAGCCAGCTGTAATCTTCCTCTCCCGGACAAGTCCAAGGCAAGATGGCCAGCAGCTCTCTGCTGTGCTCTGAGCTGGGGGCACCAGGACCTGTGAACAGTGTGATCGCTGGCGCTACCAAAAGATCAATACTTGTCAACAGTTAGGACTGTGATATGGAGATGCTGCTGGGTTGTCTGCTTGGTACCTGAGCTGATGGTTCTTGTGCTATGCAAGATTTTTTGATGCAAAAAAACCCTCTTACTGTCCAATGCTGCTTTTGTCTGTATGAAACTCCTGTGAGGGTCATTTAGACAATGTAATGTTTGGTTCTATTAATTAATGACTGACAAATAAAATATGAAAAGACAATTTTACACTGAAGCCAATAAATTATAACTTTTAATGTCTTCTCCCTAAATATTTCTAATAGTATTAAGCACAGTTTTGCTCTCTGCAGCTTTTGAAGATGTAGTGCTCATTGCATGTACACAGTAAATGAAAATTCAGCCCTAGACCTGTGATCTCCTTACAGACAGAAAACCAACTTCTTTTGCCCCTCAGATGGATGTCCACAATGTGTTGTTGGAGCAGTTTTCTGCTCCCTCCTATGACACAGGTATGTTGAACAAGCTGACAGAGCAACTCTCAACATTGCTAATCTGCTCGGGATAACATCACAATTGCTTGCTTTGAGTACAGAGAGCCAGACAGACAGAAGGTGTCTCTCCCAGAAAGTTGGCTTTATCCCACTCAGAAAGTGCTCCACAAGAACGATAATCACAAGAACAAGAATGCCCGTGGACTCACTGACATGTTTCTGCTCTACATCAGCGTTGCTCAGAAGGTGGTGTGAAGCTGCTAGCAGGCACAGGAGCATTTCAGGCAGGTTGTGCACCACTGGACAAAGCCATGTTACCTGGTAAGTCTTAACATTTTGGCATGAGATAAGGCCAGACTTACCAGCCATGGATGTTTATACTTGTAAGCAATCTGTCAGTAATCTGCTTTCCCAGGGACAGGGAGTAATTTTTACACCTACTGCCTGTAATTACCATCAGTTCCTGCTCCCCTGCCTTGAAGAGCCAAAGCTGTTGTCCATTCAGTTTTATGAAACATGGATGAATCAAAAAGATGTCACAAAGTGTGAGGAACACCTTTCTAACTAGAACAGTCCAGAAGGGGTGAGGAGAATCCAGCTTAGAAAAAAACAGAATGCAAGTGGCTGAACAGAAAACAGAAGAGTTACAGTGCAAAAGACCCAATGTCTTGTGTGTATCACAACAGCCAGAGTCAGAAGTCTTAGCTTCCACGATGTTCTCACACATCAAAACTACACTCATTAAAGCTGATTAAAATGAAATTACTATCCTTCTAAGTTAGCAATTTCAGCACTAGAAAGTATTTGTAAAGTTCAAGACATGGCTCAGATGGCTCAGGCGTTTTTAAGACTGTGCACTGCTACTTCTAGATTAAAGCAAAAGAAATATTCTCTCTTCACACACCCTACAAATGATTTCTCTCTCTTATAGAGCCTATAAACTCAAGGACAGATCACTAATATTTTACATTACCATACATGCATTTCTCAGCTTTGATAATAATTTTTTACCAATTTGTTACACCTTATGGAACTTGTCAATTTGATTTTGAAGCCTAGGTCAAGTCACTTGTACATACACAGAAACCACAAAGAAACTTTTACACCTTTGCTTGAAGGATGATAATGCCTGTCTAAACTCAAGGCCTTGTAAAAACCCTTAACATATTTTAATTACAGCTGCAAACACACACAAGGTCCTATTTAAGAGCAGGATAAACTCACCACACTCTCAGGGAGTACCTGGCTGTGCAGTTGCCTTACTGACAGTGCCTTTGAAATGAATGCATCTAAGCACATAGCACTCCACTATGCACAGCAACTGATACCAGGAGGTCAAAAAGAATGGCATTATTTCTACACAAAGCATCCTGATACAGTACAGCTATTCTTCTACAAGACGTTATCACTACCCGTAGAATTAATTTTGATGCAGACTAATCTAAGCAAAGCCACATACCTAATGACATACTGAACATCACACTCCTGCCTGTAAGCCCTGAAAAGCTTTCTGTTCTACACTTGTCATACAGCAATTCCTGTACTGCAGACAAAAAGGCCAAGAGTGTGCTTCCTGAAATGTAAGCTGCATAAACAATGTTATCTGAACTGGGGGTGAGCATATATGTGAAATGACAAAATGAGGCACTGCTACATATCACAGAATATGATAAAAACAGAAAAGGGTTTTCCCAAACAAGCTGCAATAAAAATAACACCGAAAACTGCTACTCAGTTTGTTAAGAAATTCTCTTTAATACTACAGTACCTACCAGTTGAGAACTCTGATTTGACTGTACCACCTTAACCTGAGGAGGCTGCACTGTATTTGATACAGAGACTGTGCAAATGTTGTTGGGTTGCCTTATTCCTATTGTCTGTGTGGTGACAACGGCGGAAATGGTTCCAGAGGCAGACTGAGGTATCACTTGTGAGAGCTTGGTTTGCTGCAGTGGCTGCTGAGAGGGCTGTCCTTGAAAAACCGAATGCTGACTGTTCAGTAAAGATTGTCTCAATGCAGGTAGACTTTTCTAAAAAACAGAGGAAAGTTGATGAAATAGAAAACTTAGCATGTTGACAAAAATATTTTGAAATTTGCCATAAACATAATTAAAAGAATGCAACTTGCTTTCCAATTGTACTCTCTGCCTATTCATCAGAAAGAAATAAGATTTAACATATTTTGAAGAGAGAAAGTGCAGTTTACATTTTTAAGAAGATTTCAGTTTGAATTTAGCAACCCTGTAGATTTTCATATGCCCTAAATACCACCACAGCAGTAAAACATAACATTCTCCTTCTCAAGACTATCTGAACTTCTAGCTTAGGTCTTTGAAAGGGCAAAAATTGGAAACAGAAAAGGCAGAACCACACGAACAACCCTATTCTCACTGCATGCTAGAAGCAGCAAGCTGCACCAATTGTCTTCTCCTGACATGCCTCCAGTACCTAGGACAAGATGATTCGACTGTCAGCGCCCTAAAGCAATAGCTGTTTACTGTATTATTACTGATCTAATGTATTCTGACTGGATTAGAAAAGGGAACTACTGTATGCTTCATGTTCAGACCAGTTCAACCAAAAATACAGTTCTAAAAGGCTGTACTGTACCTTCATGAACAAACTTTTCACTTTTTAAGTGGCAGTGGTGTTCCTTTGAAGTGCCCCCCAGGCAGCTGTCGAATGCAACACTGTTTAGCCCAACTACAGTTCTTTCTAAACTCATAATATTTATTTAAAAACTTCATGCCTGTTGCCCAGAAAGGACTTCAAAGACAGGAAACAAGTCAAAACTCATCGTGATGCTAGGAGTGACTGCAGTCACTGCAGGAAAAGGCACAAATAAGGGTTAATGATAACTTGAAAAAACAGCAGCAAAGGGAGAAAGGTCTGAAGAAAAGTTGCAGGGAGAAAAGAAAGAGAGGCAATCTGCCCTAAACAGAGAAGCTTTGAACTAGACAAACAATGCTTTTAAAAATACAGTTGTGGCTTTGTTGGGACATGACTAAACACTGTTTGTATGTTTGGATATAATGTTGCACACGGAAGTTGTAGCTAATGCAGAAAACCAGTTAAGAGTTTATTTTACCCACACAGTAACTTGAGATCCAACAGTAAATCCATTTGTATCACACCAGAAATTCTACTGTTGGTTACTTCCAGGTTACAAGAAAGATCAGTTAACCAGCATTAGCCAGTTCAGTTTTTCATAACCATTGGTGCATGTGGACTGAAAGTTATCAGGAACTCAAACATAGATTACAACAACAGTATGGAAAAAGCTTATTAAATTCCTCGAAGCATTCTGCAGACAACCTGTGACTCTTCCAAACGTGAATGTTGTACTTCTTCACAAAGAATTACCTACTGCCACAGAAAGTGTGTTCATTACAGAAGTACAGGATCACTGCAGAACAGACAATGGATGCTTTCCAAACTAGGGAGTAACTGCTTTTTTTGTATAAATCTAATCACTATAGTGTTCCAGAGCAGTGCTACTCAAGCTGTAAACTCCACATCAGCCCTGCAAGATTTCTCTTAAGCCTAAACCAAGGCCTCAAACACAAGATCTCCCTCCTGTAGGAATCCCTATTTCTTACCCTTCTCCCAGCCTGTCAGGGACAGTCAGGTGCAGCACAAAGCCACAGCTCCCCACCACACATGCAGCAAGCAGCACCTGACTGGCAGGACAGAGATGGAGCCTGTATGGGACTTCCAGCCAAGAAGATTTAGGCAGATATTGATAGCACAAAATTACAACTGAGTAGTCCTGCTCTGGACATGTGAAGCTAATACCATGTGAAAAGTAGATTCCAAGACTTAATGATTATCCAAACAGTATTCACATTACCTTAAGGAAAGGTACAAGATATGGCTGAGGAGATGATTTGAGTTCTGTTTGAAGGCGGCCTGTAAATTCTTCTGGATCAATCTTTGCGTCCTTCAGGGAGAGGAAAAAAGGCATCAACAACTCAGTTCTGTTGTCTGGTTGCTTCTTTCCCAGCTAATATATACACATACATCTCCAGCTAAATAGCTGCCGGAGCAAGAACTTCCAAAGCTGAAATCCCTCAGCTCCTCTCTCCGATCCTTGTGGCAAGAGCCAATTCATATGTGCAACATGCCACTCCACATTCAGGGAGTTCCCTTGGGGATGCACAGGTTAAGACACGAGACCCCACAAACACTCAAGTGTCTTTAGGGACTCTGTTCTCTTGCTAACATTTACATAGTGATTTCTTTTATAAAATTAAAAGAAAACAAAAACAGCAAGTTGTTGAAGTAAACTTACAAACCACTACAAAATTTATCAGCCCTTATGATAAGAAAGTATCTGTACTTAATTCCAGAAACCATTCTGACAGTCCAGTTTAACTTGGTAGAATGTGTAAATGCATAATATAAATGTATACTATAAAACCATATATGTAAAGCACAGGCAGAGATGATAAGTATAAATGCAAGTAGAGATAAAATTTCCACCTGTATGAATTTGTGCATATACTCACAAAGTATACACTGATAAACATATGCAATACATCAGCAGCAGTTAGTACAGCAGAACTCCATACCCAGCTGCAATCTATGGTACCTCTAAAGCATTGCTAGTTACAATCTCAGGTTGTGATACAAACGTTCATTAGCTTTCCTGGACTGATACAGAACAACAGAATAAAACAAAATAAATCAAAACACCTTCAATAAATACATTTATTACATATGTGTGTCACTATGGTGCTTCAAATATTGTAAGCAGTTACCCTTACTTATTCAATCTTTTCAAATTTGTAAAAGCTAAAAGGAGTTTTTACTGGAACCACTGACCATTACTGCTGAATGGCTCACATTTGAAGTCTGAGGCTTGTCTGAAATGTGCAGGTTTCTCTGGCAATGAATTCAAAGAACTATATCAATCCAAGTCCTTCACAGACTACATTTCATATATTTTAAGAAGTTTTACCACTTGTCCAGCTCCACAGTAACTCCTTTCCCTCCGTTCACTGAAGCACCTGTTGTGCTGGAGCCCAGAGCAGGCCCAGGCTCCCTCTGGGCCTGGGGACTCTGTCCAGCTGCACACACCTTTGCCTCCTGAAATCCCGTGCTGCTAGGGCTCCATGCAGGGGCCTCTGTCTGCACAACTGCTGGGACTCAGCAGCTCAGCAAAATCCTTCTTCAGTCCTAGCAACTGTAAACCACCTTGTGAAGGCGTATCCCTACATCCCTCCTGCGCTTCAAACAACTAATGGCTCCTTGCTGCTTCAGAAAAGACCATGGTTTGGAGGAAAAGAAGCTTAATGAATCCTCAAGGAAAAATGCTGTATTTTACTCTGTTTTTCTAAAGAAATGACCCAAACATTACCCATCAAAACATGCTTGTTTTTGACAAATGCATACCAAATACTTGGCTGCATTTCCCCTTTCAGAAACTGAGACAGTCTAACGGTTTCGAAGATATGTGACACACAAAACACTTGCACTTTGATGTAGCCCAACTCCTTTCACCTTCATCACAGCCAAAAGAATTGCTCAGATCAAAGGAATGGTTTTCAGCATACACAAATAACAAGCTTAATAGATAAAATGAAAGGTAACTATGTATTTACCAACAAATCTTGAACCAGAGCTTTCACATTGCGGGATGTTTCTGGAGAGGGTGAGTTATGAGAAGCAAGTTTTATAAGGGTAGCTAAAAAGTTCTTGCATTTTTTCACATTCTCTTGCATTTCCTGCAAAAGCCAAAGAAAACAATTATCAGATTCATGCCATTTTTCCATCAGGATCAATGGTTGCTCTGACCACTATAAATAAGGAAAAAGATGAAAGCTTTCCAATTCAAACAGGACATGCATGACACACATCTGCAGCTGTTTTGCTATTCCTGCTAGTTACATGGTATTTGCTTCACTTCTTTATGTAACTGAACATCATAGCTCACAAATAATAACACAAAAATCAATGAAAGAAATATATTTTCTATTTTACAGTCCGCTTTGATAAAAATAACCTTAAACATGAGAAGCAACACGACAATTTGTGGGAGCTGCATTCTCCTTTGAGATGCCCGAGACACACTGTGTGGTGTTCCCCAAGCTAGCCTGTTAAATTATTGATTCAGGAGGGTTTTGTACAATGCAGCTACAGCAGTAAAATCAAACTAGAAATAAGCCTTCAAACATCATCATATCTCATCTT